GTGGCCGTTAGAGGAACTGCAGCTCAGGTTTTCTGCTTTGTGCTCCCTCTGTAGTTTTGTCACTCAGCAGCTTCCATACAGCCGTGGTGGAGCTGCAGGAGTCAGTCTGCCGTGCAGGGTTCGGTGCTCAGAGATAGCGGATCCTCCCTGCTGGGGGAGTGCGTTAATTGAAACTTTGGAGGCGCTCCCGTTTAAAGTGCTCGAGATAGAGAAGTCAGCTGGAACCGGAGAGCCGGTCATCTCTGCTGGAGCACCGGGAGGCTGGCAGAGCTCGGGAACAGCTGCACTGAGAGCAGCTCCATGTGACACACAGTGGTTCTGCCATTTCTAATCAATGATTAGTAGAAAAAGATCTTTAAAGGGAAATCACAGCTCCACCTTTTGGGAAACCGGGGGACTTGGCGTCTGGAAGTTTAAGGGTTAAACCGTCATTGTTTGAGAGGTTATGTGCATAAAGTAAAACCTTTAGATGCTTTTTCTTTGCTGACTTAATGAATGTTCTGCTTTATAAACTCAGTGCGAGTCGGCTGATATCAGAGTATCCGTGAACACGCCGCTCGTCTGGCACAATTTAATTGAGAACGACGCCACCGCTTGACGGCTGCCGTTAAGGTCATCCGTCCGCCCCGTGCTGTTTACTGCGGCTCCAGCGAGCGGACAGGATTATCCACACTCATTATGTACTCTTTTTTTGATAGTGTGCCTTTGAGATAACGGGGGCTGCTGAAAAACGCATTAGTAGCTGTTCAGATTTCCATCAGTGCAGCTGCCAGACGTTTCCTTTGTTTACACTCCATTTACCAGCGAGGCCCTTCAGTCCTGAAAGGTGCTGAGGAGACGGACGGCTGCAGTTCGTCCTTTTTCCCTCGCGGTGACGGAAGCAACGCTCAAATCCTTCATTGTGCTAATACAACTATACAAAAAGTACTGCCTTAAAGGTTAGCTGTGAAGTGCATTGGAGTATTCAAGGTGAAAGAACGAGGAAGGTCCCTCCTCTCAAACTGGCAAAATCCCACCGAAAGGTCCATTTAGTGGAAGTTCAGGAGCTTTTGATCATATCCCACGATCTTCATGATCAGATGGAGTTTGCAGTGTTCTCGTAGGATTATAGTAGGATAATTTCCATTATTGGAGGCTTGTTCTCCTCTTCAGCATCTATAATTATATGACCACACTGCTTCTACTAAAGATTTGATACATCAGAAAGCTCCAGAAAAGCCACTAAATGAGGTGTGACTCAACTTTTATTGCCAGTTTTGAGGATTTTCATGGTTTCAGATTTCAGTTTAAGAAAGAAAGACTTCTAAATCTAAATGAATGAATGAAATAAAAAAATTTACTAAAAGCAGAATACATAAGTTTGTATCATGGATCACGTTAGCTGGGGAAGCTAACTCTGTGTTGGACTCTGTGTTGTGGTGGGTGTCGGTCGTTTGTGGACGTTGGCGGACTCCATTTATAAGGTTACGTTAGCTAGTGTTGCCCACTGTTGGCACTGTAGGGAAACGGAGAGAGAAGGCACTCTGGAGCATAAAGGTCCAACCTTTGACCTCATCCCTCATAGAACACATAGAAATCAGTCCACAGCAGCAGACGAAAAATCACACTACAACCTGTTTCAGTCGCGTTCACACACACTCATTATACAGAAACATTTAAAGGCTTCAGAATCGTATATATTTCTCTACTTGGAGCATAAAATCTGAAGCATGAAGGAAAACATTTGAGTACCAGAACCAGTAAACTGTAGTTGGGTTCAGACTCTTGCTGTAGTTGCTGATTGATTTCCTGCAGAAGAAAACCTCCCCACTGGCAGCGGGACAGCTTATCAACGGGGGCACACAGGACAGAGTCTGGCCCCTCGCCCACAGTTTGGCAAAGGGGTGCCGAGGCCCCCGCTGCCCCACATGTGGAGGTGGCGGGTTCTGCCAGCAAACACACTGTTTGTTCGCACAGCGGCGGGACCGGTGGCTGCGACCCAGCAGGGGAAACACTCCAGAGGCTGCACAGACCGCCACACGTGTCAGTGCGACAAAACCCGCGCTCCCCATCCGTCCTGGATCTGATTTGTGAGGCGGTGCCGGTTCGTGCAGCAGTGGATCATCTAATTGTGACTCTGCAGCGAGACGCTCAGATCGAGTTTAGTGCGAGCCTCCCGGGACGGAGACGAACACAGGAAGACGGCTCTGATAAAGTCAGATACATGTCCCGAGCTCAGATTAGGTTTGAACCGATGAATGTTTCAGGAGTACAGCCGGAGAGAAAGATCAGCCGCTGGTTAAATATTAGATATCAGCAGCTCTTACTGAAGGTGGCACCGCCGAGTTTAAACTACAAACTTCTTTTAATTGTTGCCTCGTTTTTTGCCCCAGTATTGAAAGCAGTTTATTAAAAAGAGGATAAAAACCAGGGTCACTCAGTAATCATAAAACAGGGAAGTGATGCTGTGTTTTTGTTTCTGACAATCACACCGCGTCCTGATAAAGTGGTGAGTCGGGACGTTCCTGGCGACCAATTTTCCCCATCGATTAAACTTAAATTTAAATTCAGAATAGTCTAAAAGCAAGAAAACACTCGGTGCTAGCAAACTTATTATTATTCTCTACCCGATCAAAAAGTAGCGGCGTTGTACAATGAAGGACTACATCAATAATAATGATAATAATAATAATAATTTAAGGGTTCGAGGAATCAGATAAGTAACACCTTTCCTTTATTAAACAGCAGAAATTCCATATTGTTCATTTAATATTCAGCAGAATTCAGTCACTTGTTGCTTTATGCTGATCAGACTGACAGATAATCAATAACAATCAGTTCTATTGATAATCAGTGTCTCTTCACATTAATTGTTAGTATTGCTGCTCTGCTCTTCGTCTGATAACCGTCACATTCAAATGCTCATCACGCAGCCAAACAAACTCAGTTTCCTCTCGCAGAGCGGATTGATCATGTGGTCAGTCTCCGCCCGTCACACCGACAGCGGACAATAAATCCATTTAAATGCAAATCAAACACGCCCCCGGTCTGATTTTCCTCATGTGAAACAGAGTTCATTGGAACGTGACGCAGAGCATCGGCAGCCGTATTGAACCAGCAGCAGGAAGTGTCCACAAGCAGCGGAGGAGCGGTCGATCGATGTATTGATTAGTGGATAGATGACAACTCGGATACGTGATTAAACATCTTTTAAATGTTTAAACTGCAAACAGTTGATGGCTTCAGATTCTCACATGTAATGTTTAATATCACTGAAGCGTCACTGTTAGTATTCGGAAGAACAAGGGAAGGAATGTGGTCGGCCATTTTGAAAGATTGTAATTTACAGTGATCTCAGTTTGACTATTGATTGATTCTAACCTGTAACATCATCCTCAT